ATGATGTGTATTTGGGCTTAATAGTGTAAAAAGCGCCATTGACCGATTCTTCGAGTATTTTGGTTCTATGTTAGCAAGTCGTGTAAATAGTAGATTTACTTCACTTCGCTTATCTAATGGAGCTGGAAACCGGAGCCAAACATGGCCTTTACCCACTCATCGTATTCATAATAGTCAGTAAGGTAGATAAACTATGTATAAAAAAAATACATTTAGGAAATAAATATTATATTCTAAGTTGAGTTGATGATGATGAAGAAGATCTAAGCTTCACGCTTTGAAAAGGACGAAGTTGTGATAGTTAAAGTTACTGGGTGAAATTCAGCGATCCAGAATAAAAGTAGATTCATGGTCTAGTTATAAATTTGTTGAGTTGAAAAATAAAAACATTTAGTGTTCCAATACCAATGATATCAAAAAATCTAAAAGAACAAAACCTCGTCAGTAGTAGAACCTCTATCAGGAACTCACTTTTTTCCAGGCGATTTCACAGATTAAAAAAGGAAAGCAGATTGACTTCGCATAAACATCCAAAGAGTATTCACTGGAGAGTTCATTTACCGAATTAAAACTAGAATATGTTTGTTAAGCTTAAAAAGAACGCTAATTTTTCCCGAAGGTTTTCTTGTTTGTCGTAACAGAGAAGATGGCAAGGAAAAATAAATTTAAAAAAAAATCCCGATTGGAGCTCACTAGTTTATTGTCTATATTATGCAAATTTTTTGAGTGTGGTTAAAAGACTCTGGGATTTGTCAGTCACACAGTAGTGAGTCCACCACCACATTTGTTCCAGACTCATTTAATTGAATTGCTTTAATTCGAAATAGCGAGATGATACTATCGTATTTTAGGTTTTGAATTGATTAAGAGAGACTATTGATCGAGTGCGGAAAAGGGTACCCGTAACGGTATTTCGATGACTATTGAGCGGGCGGTTCGAGTTTAAAAGCTTGAGCAATATTCGAAATCCTCGGGGCCAGGATAAAGGAGAACGGTTGGAGATGCAGCTATTACTAGTTTTGTCAGACTATCTATAGTTTCGTTGAGTAGTACACCAACGTGAGCCGGGATACAAGCGATCGAAAGGGATTTTACTGTAGAACTTGCTGAAACAATAGTTTTCTGTAACAAGAAGACTAAGAGGAAATTTGTGGGTTGTTGAGATTAGAGTTATAATTGCAGATCTGCTGTCTGATAAAATTACATGATAGAGATATTCGGTGGTAAATTTTTTAATTGCTTGTCAACTAACTAAAACTTCCTCAGAAAAAAAAAAGCAGGATTCATGGGATCGATTTGAGAAACATAACGTGTTGTTTTTTTTTTAAATTTATAGCCGTAATGTTATTGTTGGATTTTGAGTCATCCGTATTTAGGATTGTAAAATTATTCCAAAGAGTATGGAGGATTCCCACAGAGAAAAGGTGGATCTTATTAAGATTTTCCGTAGCTTCATACGAGAGGTCGTTTATCTGTGAGAAAGACCATTCGTGGTTCGTGATCTCTGTCAAGGTTCAATCTTCCCCTTCAATTTTGCCAGTTACAGTTAAAGTAATTTTGTCTCAACGCAAGTATGTTTAATAGCTTTTGAAAGAAGAGCACGTTTTTTTTTTGTTATTCAAAATCCCCTCAAAAAGTCACCAGAAAACTGTTTTTAATAAAATAAAAATAAAAAATGAAGTAAAACCCTAAATGCTTCTTTAAAAGAATGTAATTTTATACATACAATTGAAATTTAATTCAGTAGCTTAGGATTTATTCGAGTTCAAAGATGTCCGACTTATTTAAGAAATGAAACTTCCAGAAATTTCTTTTGAAATTTTCTGAGCATACGAATAGAATGTAAAAGGCAGTTTACAAGAAAAATTTATCATTCGCGGACTTCCATATTTTGAACCTTTGAAAAAAAATTATCAGTCTCCTCACTCCTACATTTATTATCTACATTTATCCAAAACAAATGCTGATTGATTTGAAAATAAATACTAACACAAATTTTTATTACTATTTTAGTTTTAATATTGCTTTAATTACTAATTTAAATTATGAATAAAAATGTTATAATTTAATTCAAACAATTAAGTCTTTGTTATAAAATCTTTATCAAGTCATATCAAAAAGTATTTTTTGGGGGACGTAGCACATGATCTAGATGTTGGAGGAAATTTTAAAGTGGCCAATTAGGTCTGCCGCGTTATTTAACCCCTTGGGGACGGGTGATTCAGAAAAGCATTCGTACAAAATCAGAATCAAGTTGTAATTAAATAAAAAACGGTAACTTAAATGTAGTTGTTGCTAATTTGACAGACTTACTTTGATTTTACTTTAATTATTGTTAGTTTAATCATATACAGGCATACCCTCCAACTGCTACGGAATTTCCGTAGTTTCAGAAATCTTCTTTTCAGTTGGTAGCAAAATTAATGTCTTAATATTTAAAAAAAATTAATTTTAGCGTAACTTGTTCACTATTACTTATAAAAGTGCAGGCCATATGGCTGGATTCTTAAGTTCTGATAAAAGTTTTATAAGAGATCCATTTGCTTTAAAAATTTCTACTTTGGTTCGCTGCCACTAGAAAGAATTATTTTCAAAATCCTCATAAGTTGGAGGGTATGTACAGGTATATAATCAATGTTAATTCAAAGTATAACTAAATAGTTTTATTCTGAACAAATAATGGTGAATTAAATAAATCAAACAATTATAACTCCGCCCACAAATAAGCTGCTAAAGAATTACTTTGATTACCAGTTTTATCTTTTTACCCTGATTGATACGGTTTTACGCTGGCACGTATTTGTGACAGTCGGCGCGAAAGGGTTAAA